ACACACACACACACACACACACACACACACACACACACACACACACACACACACACACACACACACACACACACACACGAGTGCTTCTCATACGACACGTTTTTGATGCCCTTTATCTTGTTGTGGGATTTGAAGAATCTTTCATCACGCCGGGGTCACCAATTGTTGTGGGCCCCGGCATGTGGTCTTGATCCACGCCGGGGCCACTAAATTGACTCAGGCCCGATTACGTCTCCCTGATACCCGCGAAGAAGAACAAGACAGGAGAGGACGTGGACACAACCGTTTACTTCAGAGCTCAATCATGTTGGTGTCATTGTGTCGTGTTTGAGGTTTACACATATGTATTTATACCTCAGATGTATGGGTCATACATGCGCTAATATCGAGGTGTGAGGATAATCCAAGATAAATATTCGTGCGAATGAAAGGGGAGGTGAGGATCCGCGTGGCTGGCAACATGCTGCGAAAAGGGGAACCCTGTGTCGGAGGTTGGAGTGACCGGATTAAGGAGTGTGTGTAGACACGATTCCCAACAATCTAAGAACCTTTCTGCACACAAGCGATCTGGCGCGAAGCCTGCTTATTTATCCAAATTTTCACATTCAGAGTATGTTAAGTCTGTACAGCAGTGCTAACGGAACGTCCGTTCTGACACCAGAAAAGGGAGAACTTTCTTGTGGTGGCTTTTTGGTGGCGCATTTCCTCCACTCGGTGAGGTTCCTTGACCAGTAGCATCGGGTCAAAGAACCTAACTGTAAACGTGATTACCAAGGGCCTGATGTCGTTAAATTATTGCTCTAGAGGTAGGGACTTGTTATCCTGTCACCCAAGAACACCCTCTAGTGAACTCACGTAATACTCAACGGAACTAATTTTCGTCATTCCTTTGTTCACTTTCTGCCACTGTGGGGTTTACTTGTAGCCGGTCGCACGCGCGTTCCCACCTCTCCTTCATGCCAAGGGCTCTTTGCCGTTTTCCTGCGTCCGGCGGCGCTAATCAACATTCTTCGTCTGCCGCCGCCTCTTCCTCCTCCGAAGAGCCGTCGGTAGACACCTTCAAGGCTCCTGTGGCCCCCAAATCAAATGACGATTTCCGGAAAATGTTTCTGAAGCAGTAGCACGTTAAACCAACACGTGTTAATTATTGTACTTTGAAAATAAACAATTTATATACAAACTGTCATTGTTCTGGAAGTGGGTGTCTGCATGTTCGTCGAAGGATGTTGTAGAGGGCTTGAGTGAGCCTTGTTATCAAGTCCGGATTTTCGTTTTGGAGGCCGCACTGTGAGACTCGAATCCACATCAAGCAAACAGATACACCCTGGAGATGTTTGAGAAGAACAGAAACAACAGTGACCCTACCGTCTATCAAGCGACTCAACCTTGTTGCGTTATTGTGGGAACAGTTTTCGCCCGCTTATAAATCGCCAGTCTACACAGGTCGACATATGCGGTGTCTGCTGCTGGCCCAAATCAAAGAGGCCAAATGGCAGGTCATAAGTGCGTTTTTAAGTAGTCATACAGTTGTGGGTGGGGGGTTGAAGTTCACTGCGTTAACAAGGGACATGTGTTGGCCGGGGTAACACGTAAATTTGGATAATTCACTATGTAATGTAATTTGGCCTCGGCTGCAACCCAACATAAACTAGAGTAACTATTCCAAATGAACGATTAAATCCGCGTTCTCATACAGAGTACACACCGACAGTGGACTTCTTTTTGTGCTTACAATATGAGCTTGATTACAAATACCTATCCTTAGGTGTTTGGTGGTGGGCACTGTAGTGGAAGTGACTGGCTTCACAGAATCTGATGGTTGGTGAAAGGGCGAGCAAGGTGAAAGGGGATGGCCGTGGATCTGTTAGCCTGACTCAGGACAGAGCGCGAAGCGACGCCTCCGTGTGTTAGCGCACCAGACAGAACCGCGTTGCGCTTTTGGGGGTGGGCCTTCGACCAATCACAGACTAGGGCGCTTAGACGCACACACAGCTTGAGCCGCGGGATGCGGCTAGCCAACAGCACCGCGCCAGACAAGGCTTCTTGGGTCGTCTCTTCGATGCTTTTATCAGTCCCACAATCGGCTCGGCTGCACGCCTTGGTCCCTTGTGTGAAGTCAACACGAATTTAACGAAATTGATGGCAGTACATTCCATGGATATTTTCTTGATTGAAAATGTGGAGTATATGAGATGATACTGTTTAAGCAATTTGTGAAATGCTGCGTTAGGCGTTTCTTAAATTATAACCTGAACTAGCTATGGTCCCAGAACGAGGACACGTTGCTTAAACGTGGCTTAAACAAATTAATGAGTGTGGAATGTGACCAAATCACAGTCTGTAACTAACGTCTGGAGTAGCTCGCATCTCTCGACCATATGCTAATTCTGCCTCAGTGTCCTCATCATTTAAGCGAACGCAGTTGAGCTGACTTTACCTGGGGACCGATTCATGATTGTTTGGGTGAATGTGTGTGTAACACCTGGGGGAAAAATTGAGCGCTTTTTCTAAATGAGGTGCGAAGTTCATGGAACTCGGAAGGGAATCGATGCGACTACTAACTATTCAGAAAAAAAAGTACAAGAAAAATGAATAGTTGGAGCCACCATATCCAACTTTTGCCACTTCATAATATGGAATGCTGGAATTTGGAGAGTTGTAGCCCTTTTTTTCGTGGAACTTGAAGAACCTTTGGTACTGTGGAGCCTCCGATGTGGGTTCGAATTCCACATGTGAGTTATACACTTGTCGCAGCCCGGTTATGATGCCTAGACACTCATAGCAGAAGTTAAAGGCCGGAAGCGAGTGAGACACGGTTGTTTGCTGTGTACAGGGTTAAAGGAGCTTATAACTCTGAAGTTTGCAAGGGTAGTAATAAGTCAAATTTATGTGACGTTGACCGATGTCGCCCAGATGTTGCAAGGGTGATAAATAAAAAACTATAAATCTATGGTTTCCCCTACATTACTAACACTTTGTTGAGCCAAAGGTTAACCTATTTGCAGTAATACTTCAAACAGTCAATGGAACATCGTAGCCACCAGCATGTTTCTCAGCGAATTTTAATAAAGTTTCAAAATGTTACAGAAATTTTGGCGGTGAACTGGCAATCCGTCTCGCAGACTAACATTTCAGATATGTCCACGAAGATTGACAATTCACAATCTACAAAGACCACAAACCTCTGAATTTTGTCAAATATTGTAGTACAGATCGATCCTCGTCATGAGAGTTGCGACATCCAAATGACACTCGCTACATCAGGGGTGTAACATGTACCAAGCTATTCTTGATTTAATCTTGATTCCCTCATAGCTCCACTTATACACTGCTTAGTTGACGAGTAAAACCCGCAGTACTCCAATGCGGTAGACATTTGCTTTGCATATTGCTGCATTTGTTTACTGCATGATGTTTCTTTCTAGAGTTAATTGTTTAAAATTACGTTGTTCCGAATCGTCTGTTATACTTTAGAGGAAATGCCTCAAGGTTTCGCAGACAGTTATTGTTTACTAAGGACGCAGATTATTCTCTCGATGGTACACTCTCTGATTCATAAATCGATTCCATCAACAGGAATTATCGCGCGGGTTTTAGAAATGTGGCGATCCCTCAGTAATCTGACGAAGAACAGCGAGAATTCTGGCTAAACGAAAATCGGCTTTACGGCTACTCGAGGTCCTTCTACTTACATCCACACGTACCATTGTCGGCGAGATTTCAGCAGGCGTGCATTGCAGTATCCCAAGTTGTACACGGTCTTGGCCATCCTAATCAGCAAGAAATGTAATATTGAAACTCAATGTGTGGCCCGCCATGACTTGAGATGTTCAACACTTGTCACCAAATTACGTGCGTTCCGAAGTATCTAAGGTAGACAAGCATAGCAAAAGCCCTAATGAGAAGACGCCATTCTAGTGCAAGACATTTGAGCTAAAGCAGTGGCGAAAACTTAAGCAGAACAAGGGATTTCCAAATTCGAAATCCGTTCCACCATCACCACAGGTCAATGAGAACAGTTCGACTTGAAGCTCTTCGAACATTTCACACGACTTTTGGAACCGCACTACATTCAATCGACCGTACACCATCCTCAAACAAATGGCATGGCAGAAAGTTTTCACCGAAACCTAAAGTCCGCACTAACAATCCTTAATGACCCATCTTGTTGGACGCACGAAATACTCCTAGTCCTATGTGAGCGTGGATTAACCCTAAAGAAAAACTACCATTGTTCTTCTGCATATACAGTTTTCGAAACAAGAATGAGACTACATAGACCACTTTTCTCCTCAGCCTCCCAACCGACATGGCTGAAGTTACGCAAGCATTTCCGGGACGTGATGAGCAAATTTGTGCCCCCTCAACCTTGGTCACCATTTTCTATTACCAATTTCCTGTTAACAGGTAACGCTAAACATGTACCGCGTTCTAAAGAAAAGAAAACCAGTGTCTATAGAACACAGTGAGATCATTTTAATATTTGGGACGCAAGTCAGATAAAGCGGCTATTTTAGATTACATAACAGCTAATGACTGGTAATTTTTATGCTTATGTACCTTTAAAAAGTATGATAAAAACTACTTAAAGTGCATCTCTTCATGCTAAAGCTAGTTTGGTTTCGTAAAAAGTGAAAACTCAGAGAAATGGGAGTTAAAATTTGTATAAAAGGGAACTGAATGAACAAATATCTCAATCAGTACCATCAAATTATTTTTAATTTAAGGAAAATGTAACTGAGTTAAATTTAAATTATAGCAATTTACCCCAGATGAAAATCATTGTCACGTTCAGATAATGAATTGACCTTGCTTCATTTGGATTGCATCAGATTCATGCTATCACAGTTATTGAAAAACGACCTTCTATTACGAAAATCATTTATTTCAGGAATACTTTTGTTTATGTAGAGGTAACAGTTAATCACAATACCACAAAACTGGGACACCTAACTGGGACAATATGAAGAACAAAGGGCATCTGAGATGGAAATGAGTAATTGAGGTGATTAAATTAATCGAATTAAATAAATAAAATGAACAATTTTTTGATACAATGAAATAAGTGTTTAAGGGCGAAAATGTAATTGCGGACTACCTAAATATCGTGAGTGGAGTCTTGTCATCTCCGATTTATATAAAAAAATGAATTATTTACATATTTGTCAATAATTTAACACTGTACTCTGGCATATGATTCATTTCATAGATGAGAAAATGCGAAAGTAGAATCTGGTACAATATAAAATATAGCTAAGGATATCAAAGTGATAGAGAAAAAACTTCATCTGTATCCTTGATTTCTTTTAGTTTCTAAAGATGGCAACCGAACATGCGAAATCAAAGAGAATTTACTGACCGAAATTCGGAAGGTAATAATCATCTGTTACACGAAATTACATTATATATTAATTTCGGAGACTATTTAATTTGAATAAACTCGCATGACGGTTGACCAAAAGTAAAATAAATAAGGAAGCATCTCATTCGAATGCATTTTTTTTATAAAGGCACGGAAGATCGTTAACTTAGCTCTCAGTGTGCCATCAGTTCAGCAATTTATACCCGTGTATCCATGTAGAATTAAACTCGGCCTTTAAGTGCATTATTCCAAATTTTGAAAGTAGCCATTTAATAGCAGCAATACCTTTGACGGAGAGGTTTAACATCGCTAAATATAAATATTAAGGCGACTAACACCAATAACCCGTGCAATTATGGAAAACAAGGGACAAAAGGAACGGCACGATCTGATTGGCTTTAATATAATAATTATCTAACTTCGGTACACAACTGTGTTAGGACACGAATTCGTGCGGGATGATGTGTGGAAGCTTCGGGCTTTCAGTTATTTTCCTTTTGTTTTCTTTCTTTTACGCTTCTTTCGGTGATGAACACACACATGTGGTTAGTTGTTGTTTTCACTTAATTTAAGCCTAAATATTCATGTCACTAACGCTTTTGTATATTTGACTTCGAACTTGTTACATTTCAAATATTCTTGGCACATTGCTTTGGAAAATCATGAAAATAGGTAAAATGGGACATGCTTGTTAAGAGTTAAATCACGGAAATTTATCTTTGTTATATGTTGTAGTACAAGGATGGTGAGCAAGTTGTGCTCTGGATGAATACTGCAGGCCCGTACCATAATATGCAAGAAACTTATGCATACTTCAGCCTGCCCTTCTGTAAGGGTCCCGTGGAGAACTTCGAACACTACCACGAGACACTGGCAGAAGCTTTACAAGGAATCGAACTCGAATTTAGTGGTCTTGATATTCGATTCAAAAGTGAGTTCGCTCTTATTCATTATCTGTATGCTTATTTCTTTTACCGTACATCAAACTTTTGTTCCAGTTCCTTTTGGTAACATATATTATGCTTACTATTAATCTAGCGCGCGACTTTGAGATCGACATAGCAGCGTTAGTTAAGGGCGTTTCTTGAATACTACAAACTGGCAAGGTATATATGTTTGAAATCCTTATCAGGGCTTTTCTCATCTGTGGGATGTAGAGAATTTGTGTCAAATATTTTCGCCTTTTAGTTCATGAAACGTTTGAGATGACAGAGGTGGTCGAGAAAGTAGCCATTGGAACACACCACGCGACTAATTGTATTTGTGCATTTTTTGCACCACGCGCGTCGTAAATGAATTTCTTCCCATAAAAATGGAGTCTAATAAAATGCCGGAATTCAGCCATTTTAGTCATTAGATAATTTATTATTGGTCGACGGGTTGATGAACAGCCCGCATTCACTTCGGTGCTCAGGTCATTATGCCCTGTAGTTTTTGTGTTTTAACGCAACATTTAATTGCACAGGCTCTGTAAAGGCGTTTGGCGTTATCCATGCCAAACACAAGAGTGCCTGGTTGTGTTAACAATCTACTCTTATTTGGTCTATCATTTTTTGCCTGTTTTACCGAGAACCAGCTTTTCACGTAAATGGTTGCATGCTAACACCATGCGTAGTTTTCCACACAATTCAGCTAGATCTCTAAGTGTGGAGATAATCAGATTTCAGTCCTAAATCTTGTGACATCTTCAAAGAGAAACATTACGTGTAAACTTGTCCGCAATAATTTCGTTTAGCCGTGGTTTGACTGTTTCATACGATACAGTGTTGCGAATTAGACTTGCGGAAGTGATGCCGCCTTTTCATTTGGTCTAAGCGTGGAAAAAGACCCCAGGTTCTATAATTGATATTAGTTCACGTGATAACTTGTATGAATGCATTTTATTCGCGTAAAATTACCTTCTATATCAGTCTATTTTTTTATACTAAAAGTAATTTTGCAGCCAGATTCTTCCTTTTTATCGCCCTCCTCCAACGTTCGAAGTATGGAAACCTTTGCGGAAAAAATCACCTTTTGTGTAATGTTTCTCTAATTGGGCATTGCAGTGAGCTGTAAATGATTGGTTGCTTGGTAGACTTTCTTAATGAGTAAAAATATGTGTAAATCAGTATCGTGGGAATCGGGCCTGTTGTGTCAGCACATATTTTAAAGACCCTGGGACCCCAGTGTGGCGTTCAGGTAAGCCCAGAGGTAGAAATATTGACGGCGCTTAGTGACAACATCTATTATTATCTTTAATAATTTCTCGTCTCGTAGCCTTTTTGTGTCTCTTTGATTACAAAAGGATATTGTGTGGTTCTACGAAGCTAACATTGCAGGTAATAACGTGAATCCCTCATGTCGTTCCGCTTTGTGTACAAGCCAGTGAATCGGTAGGGAAGGCCCCGAGGCATTTCGACTAGTTCTAATGAGTCTAGAAGGTGCACACTAATGATTTCCTTGATACCTTTCTCTCGGTTAGATTCGTGTGCACTAGACATTAGAGTCAGTTAGTTGAACTCAGTGTGAAACCCTAAACTGTGTAGGTTATGTGCACAGCAGAGGAGCTCATCTTGTATAGCCTATTATCCTCAGCATTTTGTTGTTAATTTATGCCCCCATAGAGCCGGTAGAAAAGACTGAATTCTGCCGAAAGACCCTCTCAGTGGAAGAGGCTGCAGAACTGGTGTCTGCTATAAATGAACGCTACTGGTACCAGATGTATTTGGACGAGCTGTCGCTTGTGGCCGTTATTGGTGAACTGCGCGAGGATAAACCGGTGCTGTGGACACACAAAAAGTTGGATATCCTCTACAATAATGATCAGATTGTTGGGGTGTCCCTCGGCACATCAGACCCCGTTGAAGTGCTTCCCGGAGCCGAAGTTGTCTTCACGTACGAGGTGAGTTCCTCTTTTCAAACTACAGAATGACAACATTCTAGCATCACAATGCTCCTGCACGAAAGCCTCAACTATTTCCCTGGTTGCTTTAGGAGGTATAGCATCTTGTATTGTTGGGCTGGTAGAACGGTGTCGTTTTGCTTCAGCCTTGGATATTTTTGACTCACATCTATGTTCAGGCTATCAAGTTGTGTAGAATAAAGTTGAGCGTTTACGATTTATTTGAAATCAAAGCCTAACAAAGGATAATTCAAGAGAAATCATATCACACAGACAATCGCAGTTTTTCAGCGGCTAGAGCCAGTCTATTGTAGAGAGTGACTACGTGTGTCTGGGAGTCTAACGTGATTTTTTGTCCAATACATGGATTGCTGAGTGGAACATGCCATTCATTGCCAGCTTTGATTGCTTAAATATACCTTTTTCTAAATCGGACAAAAGTACACTGGAGATTTCCGCACCTTAATTACGGTCTCAGCAGAATGTTGATGGGGTCGCCTCTTCTTAGGATCTGTTTCAGTTTAATTCAGCATCAAATCCTAGTGGAAATCAATGGGTCATTCATAATTCGATCCGTCTCCGAGATTTAAGGGAAAGGCTTTAATTTGTTCGGAACCAAATGTGGCAAGCTCTGAAATCCAAGTCACTGGGGCTTGTAACACCGGTGGCCTTGTTGCTCTACCAAAACTCGTGAAGCATCAGTTACCTCACACGCATCTCATCCACAGTTTAGCTTTCTGTTTTACGTATTCGTCTACTGAAGTTCATCCAAAAATCAGCACTAAACAACCACAGTGCCATTTTTTTGTACTTTGACCACGGGCTATATTAGTAATAGTATCATTGATCAAATTGTGTGCACTTATCTTTCGGTCTTAGCTCACATTTTGGATTTATGGTAGAAAGTTTCCTCCAAAAGCCATATTCGACTTGTTCGCCGAAACATTGTCATGTGTCTGTTTGGTTAAACTAGTATAATTAAGAGTCATCGAGTTGAAGGTGTCTCAATTAAACACTAGGTAGAATCTCTTACTTGATGCTCTGTCTTCGTGACCTGCCAGTAGTCATCTCGTTGGCGGCATTCCCCAATTGTGCTGCCTTGAATTCAGTGCATTCTCTCCCGAGGGAGTAATGTGCAGCATGCGAGCTTCGCTTTCAATTTTAGAGGCAAACCACACATTAGACGCAATAACTGTCCACTCTCAGTTACTTATTTTGTTTTTTTATGCACGGATACTCTTGTCTAAAAGTGTTGTCTGGTTCTAGAGATCACATTTGGAAAAGTCTACCAGTTTACGGTGATCCACATTTCGATTGTTTGATTACCGGTTGAAACAGCTGTCTACTTAGAGACTTGTGTTTTCACGTAGCTCCCTGTGCGAATGTCACACGTACATCGCAAGGTTGCAAGCCCTCGTTAGATTGTGAATGGCCCTTCTGGGTAACTGATATGCGTTTGTGCATCTTTTTGTCTAGGTTGTCTGGATTGAATCAAGACTGCCCTTTGAAAACCGTTACGACTACTATCTCGACGTGGGCTTTTACCAGCATCGTGTAAGTTTGCTCCTAGTCCGTTTTGCCCCTTCTTTTCCCCTGCGATCGCTGCAATGGTGAATGTGAAATATCGATTATTCGCTTTTAGATCCATTGGTTCTCGATCTTCAACTCTTTTATGATGGTAATTTTCCTTGTGGTGCTCGTTGCTATGATTCTTCTACGAACCCTACGCAAGGACTACGCTCGATATAATAGGGGAGATTGTCCAGAAGATCTGGTAAGTCTTGTCTGGATATCCATATTTTCCAGTTCCACTTCCAAGCCTTGTTCTCTCGACTATGCATTCCATTTTGAAGGTCGTAGACTCGAATTCCGGTCTATGTTAGTCCTTAATTTGCTGAACGGGTAGACGACGATGATACCGTTCGCATTCACCTCTAGATGTAGCCTTCTATTGATCCATGTGTGTATTTCATGGTCCTGATTAAATGTTTAAATTCGATTAGTCTATCGGCCCCTTAACAGGATTTCTTGATGCTGCCTTAGAAGTTGAAGCTTGGGGTGGTTGATGATTCATTCCATGTAACCCCTGATTTCATTTACTCCGTGTGGGTTGACACGGTAGGAACGATTACCGGAGTGTGAAGACCGTCTTTTCTGTATGTGTGTGCGTGTAGGAACGTGAACTGGGCGATGAGTACGGTTGGAAACAGGTGCATGGAGACGTATTCCGACCACCCAGTGGCCTCCTCTACTTCTCCAGCCTCATCGGCAACGGCGTCCACATCACTGTCGTGTCCATGGTCGTGACTGTTCTCGCTCTCATCGGAAAGATGTACACGGAGCGCGGTGGGGTTCTCTCGGCCGTTATCTTCGTCTACGCACTTCTCTCTCCTGTAAACGGCTTCTTTAGTGGGCGCACGTACTCCCAACTAGGCGGTTCGTCTCTGCCATTGTTTACTACATGAGTTTGTTTGTTTCCCCCAATACGATAAGTGGACTTTTTTGCTTATCAACATCACCCTGCCATTCATGCACGAGAAGAAAGTATGCGCCTCTTTTTGACCTCACAACATGGGCCGAGTTATTCCGTACTACTCTTGTATTGCATATTTTCAGTTAGGTTCCACTGAGACTAGATGATTGTCTATATCAGGTGATGATCACGTATGCACACTCGGATTCACCAGAAACCTCCTAAATTTTATGTTCTGATGTTTTTGCAAATCAAGTGCACACGTCAACTTTGTTCTCTGCCAAAACGGAAAATGTCAGGTCTCGCGTTGCTGTTAGACGCAACTAGGTGCCAAGGGTCAGTTCTTGGTTTAATGATGGTAATGAAGCAACTTCGTGATTGTATGACCATATATTTATACGGTTTAAGACCCTACAGTGAGCAGATTAAGGAGGGAATTGCGTGAAATTTTCTCTGTAGCAAAACTCAGATAAGCAGTTTGGGTAGCAGAAGCTGCGAATGCGTCTTCGCTATAAATAGTGTCTAAAGAATAGGAGTAGCTTCGGGACTGGGAAGTTTTTGGCTTCACTGATTATGAGCAACGCAAGAAGCAAATGTTTCTCCCTTGCTCGATTGAATTTGAAAATTAAACCTCGTCAAGCGCCCAGAGTCGCATTTTGGGATGATCTATTTCCATTGAATATTAATCAATGCGTGCACTTCTCTATGGGGAATAAATCATGCAGGGATATCCCCATCTACAAAATATTTAAGAGATTTAATAAATTTGTTGGTCGGAATTTGTGCCATCCCGGCGAGATCGGCACAGCCAAGCCTAAGATATGGGGATTTGAAGGTGCCCAAGCTGTGCCATTTGTTTTGTAGGCAAAAACTGGATCCGCCAACTCTTTGTGGGAAGCCTCCTCGTGCCGACTTTACTCACAGTCATCGCCCTTGGAATAAACACGATTGCATTGTTTTACCAGACTTCCCGCGTGCTTCCCTTCCTAACAATGCTTGCAGTTTTCGCCATCATTGTCTTCGTCATTTTGCCGTTGAATCTCATTGGAACGGTGATTGGTCGGAACGTGGGTAGAGCAGGGAGCGCGGCGAATCCGTGCCGCGTCAACCCTGTCCCCAGGCCAATTCCTCCGGCCAAGTGGTTCACCAAGCCCCTCGTCATCTCTCTAATCGGTGGCATACTGCCGTTTGGATCAATTTTCATCGAAATGTGAGTCCTAGCTGCCACAACCAAAATTTACTCGTCAGCATCCCTTTCACCCGTTACTTTTATTGAGACTTTTATGCGCATATGTTAATTGTCGTTGTATGAAAGTGAAGGATGCAACGTTACCCATTTATTCCATTCGAGCTTGTCATAATTACTCAGGGAGAACACCCATTTACCCTGTATCGCACATCTCACTTGCAGGTACTTCATCTTCACGTCTTTTTGGGCCTACAAGGTATACTATGTGTACGGCTTCACTATCTTGGTGATCTGTATCCTTGTGATGGTGACCAGTTGCACCACCGTTGTCTGCACGTACTTCCTCCTCAACGCCGAAGACTACCGATGGTGAGTCTCGTTCTCCTCCTCATGGCCTTCCTCTGATCCCAGCATGTCCTCTATTATTGCTATTCGTTTGGGGGGAGGAGATCCGTGTTAGTGGTGGCTCTCGCTCCAGTAATTGACTCGGCTGAGTTCATGGGGAATGATTTGTTGGCAGAGCAACTGCGTGGTGTGAATTTGTTCAACGGCGCTACCTTACGGCTAACATTTCTCTATGATTTGTGCTTGTTTCACAATATTAATGCTGATTTAGATACAATTACGGCAACGGTTGGGCTATATTAGTACTCTCGGTGAAGGCAAGCGGTTAGTGTTCACCCCTCTTCCCATAACATATAACGAACCTACTGAAAGTTGTTTTTCTTAGTCTCAGGTTTAAACCGCGAACTTTGCAGTCAGTCAAGTCTACTTTACCAATTTTAACCAGAGAATACTTCGCTGTGATGCCCTATTTTTACACGTGTTACTGGAGTCTGTGTTTGCTAAACTGCGTAATTTTGCAGTGGCTCGCTCCGCTGCTCATGAATCGGTAAAAATGGTGCAAATCGAAGATTCAGAACGGTGATACGAATCCACACCGAATCACGACCCCTAATGTCATATTTTTATGAAGCGTCATAGGTAAATAAGTGGTATGAAGCGTGGTGTCAAACAGCTATTTGTAATCTGGCAGCCTCGCAGTATTTAAACATGTTGTTTTTCTGTTTTTTTAAGGCAATGGATTAGCTTCTTCTCCGGAGCCTCAACAGCTGTCTACGTATACATTTACTCAATCTACTATTTCCTCTTTAAAACGAAGTAAGTTTGAGACGTTGTTCCTATAGAAGGTAAAAAAAGTACGTTTTGTTGAATTTTTATCCAATGTATTTTTCTAGCTAGCCTTGTTAACTTGCTACACAAATTCCCAACTAGCTTAGGTGAATTGAGATACTCCAGCGCGAATTAACTTTGTCAGTAAGGCGATGCCATGTGCTGTAGGGCGTTCAGTGTGGTCCAAAAATCCAACCTCAACTATCAAAGTTTGTTGGAATGCTAAAGAAAAAAGGGAAAATAAAGCAGGTTATCAAGCTATTTCGTATTCGTTGTGGTGATTCGCTGTTTTCTGTAGTTGGGTTTGTGTAAATGCAAGTATCTTATGATCGAGCATTTTGCACTTCTGTCCATCGCATTTCGTAGACTTCTTGGAATTAAACATGTTCAGTTTTCGGCGAAGAATGGAGTTTTACTTGCGAAGCATAATACTACATTTCTGCTCTTAAAGTGGCTAATGACCGTATTCCGAGAAATTGTTCCGTAAAGTTCTCGGCGCATTTTTAATTGCATTGAGATCTGGTTTACAGGGCGGGATTCGAATGAGCTTGACTCCAGACGTCTGCAATAAATCAATCGTTTTAGGGGTAACCAACTGCCTGCGTGTTTGATTTCTCACGAGGGGCGTGGTCTTAAAGCGTCGGCATACGCAGACGGCATGTTAAAGCACTCCCAATTCGAAACCGGAATTTTCTACCATGAGCAAAGTCGGTACGGTTAGGGCAACCACCACAAGACGTAAAGTGTTGCAAAATCCATGGTAATTGTATCATACCACGAATACCCACGTAGGAAACTAAAAGAAGTGGATTGTAGCGGAAGCGATTAGTAAACCTTGTCGTCGCTAGAGTGTTTTCTACAAAGGTAATTCACTTTCACCTGATCCTTTATTAAATATGTTCAACCTCTGCATTCTCGTTTTCAACACCCAATGTCCAAGAGTATGTCTATTTATATTCACAATTTTTAAGCCATGGTGTGTGTGTGCTCCTTGCTGTGATCGCTATTGATCACTATGGCAACTTTTTTGATTGGTAATCATGCGTTGTTACACTGCACCCTTTTAGAATGTTCGGTCTTTTCCAGACCGCCTTCTACTTCTCCTACATGGCATTCTTCTGCTTCGCGTTGGGTTGCATGTGCGGTAAGTTTAACAATGCGAAAACAACCTTGCCGAGTCACTCGGACCGCATGTCGACTTACTAACGAAGCATTGTTTTATAAATCAGACTGGGAAATGCAGCCGTCATTCATTTTGAACCATTTAGCCACCTTCAGTCAATTAGTAGGGAGCTGTTTTTCGTTTGACGTTCGAATCACTGTGAAGCTTGGACATGTCTTTCTGGATTGAGTGTGTGTGTGTGTGTGTGTGCCAGGAAAGTGTTCAAACTTGTATGAAAGGGTCCCTTGTCAAACAATAGCCACAACGATCCACGAGTCTTCGCGCGTTGATTGGCTGCTGTCTCCCTCCCCTCGCGTTGTGTTCACCTCAAACTACTTACAATATCCCGGTAAAAAGTGCGAGCAGACTCGACAAATTTGTCGGGTAAATGATGAAAGAAGAATTGTAGTTAGTGTAACATTTTGGTTTCCTGTTCTTGCTTTGACTTGGCTGTGGGATGGAGCAAACTAGAGGATGAGAGAACCAGATCGGTGTTGCTGTTGAGTTGATTCCGTACCACGGACATTCTGCCGTCGATGCCAAATGATTCCACCATGTTTAGCAATACGAATTTCCACTTGAAAGACAGTATTCAACAGCGACGAGTTTGTTAATTCCTTACCAGGTTCTCCAACTCTGCTTCAACGCTGAACGCACTTCGGTTTGTGTGTGTTTGCCGGTTTCGACCACGCTTGAAGCCTAGTCGCAACCTTTTGCCTTGTCTCCTGCCCTACCAGGATCATGGTCATATTGGATTGAGTCAGCTTTATTCGCCGGTCTTTTTGGTTTCCTTACTTGAATTCCCGTCATGTTGGTGTGGTCACGTTTGCCTAGTTTCGAAAATTCACTCGCTCTGTCGAGAGTGTGGTGTCCTAAGAACCGACCACACATCCGACCCCGTAGCCGGAGTTGGACGCCTGGAATGTGCAAAGTTTGCGTTTTGATAAGTTCGTGCTGTGTTGGGGTTAGCGGCAATCAGCATCATCTCAGTGCTAATGGTAATTGTCTATCCGTGTTTCAGGTGGGATCGGATATCTGGCCTCAAATCGATTTGTACGAACTATCTACTCGACAGTCAAAATTGATTAAGTACTCCTGCCCCCTTCCCCATTGGTCTGTTCGAGATCTTGTCGAACACCCATTCTCATTTCCTCATGTTCGGACCTGTTTCTTATTAAAGACACCAATGCGATGCAAATAATCGTTGTGGCAGTAAAGCTACTTTTCAACATGTGGTGTTCCAATTAGTTATAGGTATGTTTGAATTTTTTTAGTTGTATTCGAACTATGTTTAATGCCGAGGCAAAATCCATTTTTTGTGTGACGCATCGCTTGTCGCGGTGTTACTTATAAACAGCTTAAAATTCCAATCCACAAACAACCAAAATCAAGTAGGTAAATATGCGTCATCCCAATTGGGGATTTATTTCGGAACATTAACATAGTTGACACGGGTAAAAGGCGTGTGCTTTAATACTCTTCGCCCTCTTCACCCTCTCCGTCAACTGTATCGGTTCCAACTTCTTCGTAGTCTTTTTCGAGAGCTGCCATATCTTCACGAGCCTCAGAAAATTCACCTTCCTCCATGCCTTCGCCAACGTACCAATGGACGAAGCAACGTTTGGCATACATTAGGTCGAATTTGTGGTTAAGACGAGCCCAGGCCTCAGAGATTGCAGTTGTGTTACAGATGGAACAAAGGGCGCGCTGGACTTTGGCCAGATCGCCACCTGGAACGACAGTAGGTGGTTGGTAGTTGATGCCGACCTTGAAACCAGTGGGACACCAATCAACGAATTGGATGGTCCTCTTGGTCTTGATCGTAGCAATGGATGCATTCACCTCCTTCGGTGCGACATCTCCACGATAAAGCATGCAGCAAGACATGTATTTGCCATGTCGAGGGTCACACTTAACCATCTGGTTGGCCGGCTCGAAGCAGGCGTTCGTGATCTCGGGCACAGTGAGCTGTTCATGATAGGCCTTCTCTGCGGAGAAGGTCGGAGCATATGTAACAAGAGGAAAGTGAATACGGGGGTAGGGCACCAGGTTGGTCTGGAATTCAGTCAGGTCAACATTCAGGGCACCATCGAAGCGGAGTGAGGCGGTAATTGAGCTGACGACCTGAGCGAGAATTCTGTTCAGATTGGTATACGTTGGGCGTTCAATATCAAGATTGCGTCTTAAGAAATAGAAGCACTCATTAATCAGTGTCATGGCTGATGAATCAAAGTCAAAAAAACCTACCGGCAAATGTCATAAATAGCCTCGTTATCGTAGACGAAAGAACAGTCGGAGTGTTCAAGAGTCGAGTGCGTATTGAGAATAGAGTTATAGGGCTCAACCACGGCAGTCGAGATCTGTGGGGCCGGGAAAATGGCAAATTCGACCTTAGCTTTC